AGGACGGGCGACGCTGGGACCGGTGCTCGCGGGGAGGGCGTGGGGAAAGGCGCCGAGCTCGAGTGGGCATCGGCGTGGACACAACTGCGGGGCACGGGGTTGCCAAGCAAACGAACCACACTAGAACCACTTCCTCCTAAACGAAAAAGGGAAGAACAGCATTCGAGGTGTCCCCCATCGTACCGAAAAAAACTATGGGCTTGAAAGACACAGCCGGGGAAGGAGTGGACAGTATTCCCAGAATCCTTCACTCGAGCTCCTCCGCTCCGCCGTCAACCGAGGCTGGTGATGTTGCAGCGGCCCCCAGGGGGCGCCACGATGCGGTGGCCGGTGCGCCTGGGGTTGTTGTCATCTGTCTGGGCACCTGAAAGAGACAGCTGGTCACTTCTGTCCCCAGCTCTGCTTGCTGCCCCTGGGGGCTGGGTCCCTCCCATGTCCCCGGCCTTCAGACGCTGAGCCCTCAGCCCAGTCCGGGCTCACCCCTAGGAAGGCCCCCCGGCCCCCACAGGGCGCGCTGCTTCCTCCTCTGCGCCCCTCAGGCCCTGGGCTAACCCTCTTGCAGCCCTGACCACACTGAGCTCTTTCTTGTCTGGCTTCACGTTCTTGAGGCAGGTGGGCAAACATGAATTGAGGACCTACTGCGAGCAGGCACAGACTCGGTGCTTTAACATAGGCTGTTGAGCTCAGAGCACAAGATATACTACCAAAGGGGTGTTTTTACTCCCAATTCACAGGTGAGCAATTTGGGGGACACACCTAAAGGGCGGGGAAGCCTGAGGTCGGCACTGACTGGTTTGTATCCAGAACCTGATCCTACCACAAGGTCAGAACCCGCAGTCAGAACCCTGGGCACAGGGCCAGCGCTCCAAAGGCCTGTATGCATGTGCTGTGCTTGGGCTGCGTGTGTGTGCAGACACATGTGTGTGTGTGCGTGTGTGTGAACTACTCAGACTTCGAATTACTCGCCTCATTTGCAATGGGCAGATCTGGGGCGGGGGGATCACATTTTTTTAAATTTTAAATCTGCAAAGCCAACCATCATCCTAATCTCACACACCTCTTGCAGTTAAATAAAGATGTAAAGTTCCAGCACCAAGCCCAGTGCCTGCTGCTCAGGAGTATGCATTAAACGGATAAACAGCAAACAGTAGATGATGTCAGGAAGAGGGGTGTTGCAGGGAAAACTCCCTCGAGTCAGGAGACTGGGGTTCTGGGACGAGCCATGCCTGCAGTTTGGGTCATTTGGAATCACACACGCCCTCCCCTCCCCGCTCGGCCTCACTTCTATTTCTGTAAAGTAAGAGTAGAGGCCCCTCCACCTGTGACGTGATGTGATCTGGGTGAGCTGCTAGGAATATTTTTAGAATTGATTTGAGAGAGAGAAGGGGAGAGAGAGAAATAGAAACACTGATGAGAGAAACACCCACGGGTTGCCTCCTGCACGCCCCGGACTGGGGATCCAGCCAGCACACAACCCAGGCATGTGCCCTGACTGGGAATCGAACCGGTGACCTCCTGGTGGCTGGACGACACTCAACCAACTGAGCCGCACCAGCCGGGGGGCCACCAGGAATTTGGATTTGAGCACTGACTGATTTTCTCTCGTTTCACTGGCAGACAGTGTATCTTCCTGGTAATTCAAGCATCTCCTAAGGGCCCCGAAATTGAGCCTCCGCTTACTACCTTTGACCCGCATAGTCCCCTGGACCTTCCCGGTTACTTGTCAGGTTCTCTGAAAATACCCGCTGGACAAAAGGATGCCAGTGTCATAAATCATGCTACACCTTGACGGCACGTCACGCAGATGTGTGAGAGGACACGTGTGACGTTGTTCCTGGTGTCGGGAAGCACAGGTGCTGTTGGTAGCAAATGAAGTCACCTGTGCCACCGCTGTGAGGCTGGCACGGGCGGGGCTGGGGCCCCGGAGAGCCAGGGAGGCAGGGGCCCTCCCCAGCAGGGGTCACGCAGGCGGTACCCAACGGATGTCTCTCTCTCACATTGACGTTTCTCTCTCTCCCTCTCCCTTCCTCTCTCTCTAAAATCAATAAAAACATTTAAAAAATTTAAAAAAAATACTAGTTACCTGTGAGTATTAGGATCACGTCCCTGTAAAAGGAGCTCTTGCACGAAAGGCTCCTGGGAAGGGAGAGGGACTGGACTGGGGGACCCCCGATCCACGTCCCCATCGCGTAATCACTGAGCTAGACACTGCCCGAGTGGAGGGAAGGCCTGTCACCCCCCAATTTAAGGTGACATCCCATCTTCTCTCTGCCACCCCCTCCACTAACATTTCCCCTTTTCTGCTTCGATGTCCTTCCTTCCTGCTGGACCGGGGGCAGCAAACTAGGGCCCCTGACAAAACTCAGCCCACCTCCTGTTTCTTATAGTCCGTGACTTAGGAATCGTTCTCACATTTTTAAATCGCTGCATTTTAACAGCCATTTCATCTTATAGTATGTTGGTGTGCAGAGCCTAAAGTATTTACTACGGGCCCATCAATAAACAGCCTGCTGACCCCGGGAAGAGCCGGAGGGCTGTCTTAACTCCTCACTGTGTTCCTAGGACCAACCACGGCCTGCAGCACAAGCGTTTTGTGTTATTTGGCGGGAGGATCCCAATTCAATGTGCCCACCGTGTGCAGCCTCCCCCCTGTGGTGACCTTGTGGACCGTCTGTCCCTGGGGCTTTACAGCGTTGGCAGGACCAGGCCAACCAACTTCAGATTTTGTCCACACAGGTCTTGAGCACCAAGCCCTGGCTGTTGGACGCTGAATTTCCCGAGGGCTCAATTTCCTCTTTAAAGAAACAGGAGTAGTATCGCTCTACGCACAGGGCTGTCGTGAGGACGAAATAGTCTCGAGGCCCCGCAGCGTGATAAACTGCAGTGAAGGGACAGGCGGAAGACGGGCCCAGTGGGCAGACGGGGCTACTGCGTCCTCACTCCCGGGAACGGTGTAAAGGTGACCCCCGTGTAACTGAGGATGAGCCAGTTTCTACGCAGACTCTGCGCAGGCCAGGGTCAGGCATCCCTATGCCGCCCCCACGGGCCTCTGGGCTTTCTGACCTCCCCCGGCCCACTCCGCCCCACCCAGAGGAGAGGTGGAGGGGATGCCCTGTCCCCTCCTCAGGTGCCTGAGGCCGTGAGGTCATTTCCCGGGGGGTGCAGCCCCTGGCGACCACCGGGGTGTGGAGCCCCGGCTGCTGGGTCCCTACCTGATAAGCTGAAGTTGGACTGGTGGAGGTTCCTGAAGGGCGGAGGCTGGTGTTTGGAAGGCGAGGATTTGGCAGAAGGAGCGGGAGTTGCATATTTGGGTGTAGCTGGCACCTCGTACACGGGGCCGTCATACATGCCCCTGGGGACCCCTTGTAATCCAGAGACCTAAACAGGGAGGGGGGGGGACCAGTGATGGGCCAGGTGCACGCGCCTTCTCGTTCAGAGCCCTGCGGGCAGGACAGTGACCTGAGGTCACCTCGGGGACACACACACACACACACACACACACACACACACACACCCCACAAGGTACCTAACTCCACATACACACGTGCGCCCCTCCCTTCAGTCTGCAAAGCCCTGGGACCCCCATGGTGTGGTTCTGACTCCAGCCCTGAGGTGGGGGACAGTGTCACAGCTCGGGTGACACATGAGCAAAGGGAGGCTCGCAAGGCTGTGATGTCTGCGGACGCTGCCCACCAGGGGCCCTGGGCGCCCACCTTGCTCCTGATCCTGACGCGCTGGTAGAGGTACTCGGGGAAAGGCTTCCGCGGGATGAAGCGGCCCATGCCCTTGTTGACGTTGATGCTGCCGTCCTCGAAGACGATCTTGCCCTGGCTGATGACCACCAGCGGGGAGCCGTGGCACTCCATGCCTTCGAAGATGTTGTACTCCACCGCCTGCGGGCGAGAACCACGCTGCGCCCTCACAGCTTCCTGCCGGCCACGTGGGCCCAACGGTGACCCTACTCAACCTCAGATCACGGGCATTTCCCAGGGTTCTTCTGAAGACGCCTTCTTCAGGGCTGTGTAATATTCCACCGCACTCTTTCATCTGCATAACCAACCCCTGGCTACTGGGCATTTAGGTGGAGGGTGGTTTTCTATAATCAAACTAATATGGTCTGAGGCGTCATACATGTGAATGGGGCCCCTGGGGTTAGGCCACAAGGCTGCTCTGTGACAGACATTTCTGTGTCGTTTTAAAAATATTTTTTTTCTTTAGGAGAGAGTAGTTTTCTAAAATTGAAGCATTCGGTCAAGGACATACGCTCTCTACGGCACCCGTTGTCTGTTGGCAAATTAGACTCTGGAGGCTTCAGACTGACTGACAGTACATGGGCCCCGGGGAGACCCCTTAAGATTTCATGTCTATGAATCCCTGCAGCTCTGCGGAAGGTCATGTTTATATTTTCTTTCTTTCTTTTTTTTCCCTTTCTTTTTTGCTAATTTGAAAGACAAAACATTTCCTGCAAACACACATTCCTTTTCAGTTTTCCTAAAGCGAATGCAGCCAGCACCAGCCGGCTGCTTTTGATTATTTAAAAAGTAGGTCCTGTATATGGTAAAGAAATTCAAAAGATACAAAATGTATGCGAGCCTTGGCCGGCGAGCACAGTGGTCAGAGCACCAGCCCGCACAACAAAGGGTCTCGGGTTCAATTCCCGGCCAATGGGACGTACCTTGTTTGCAGGTTCGATCCCAGGCCCTGGTCGGGGCACGTGCAGGAGGCACCCAATTGATGTGTCTGTCTCACATTGATGTCTGTCTGTGTCTCTCTCTCTCTCTCCCCCCTCACACCTCCCCTCTCTAAAAATCAATAGAAAAAATATCTTGGGTGAAGATTAACAACAACAAAAGAAGTCAGGGGCATGTAAGACACAAAGTGCAGAGAAACCTCCCGCCACAGGCTCAGGGCCTGGACCCCGGGGAACAGGCCCCCTGGGCTGCGCAAAGCCCGGTGGCCCCAAGTCCAGCCCTTCCCCCAGCTGCCCGTCAGCAGTGGACACGAAGCAGGAGGTTAAACTGGATCGAATCCCCTGCAGCTCAGTAACTGAACCGGAGGAACAATCTTGGGGTGCGTGCTTCCCCTCCGAGCCTGAGAACCCGCGTGTCTGCGGGCAAGAGTGGGGGGGGGGACGGACAGACAGACAGCACGTCTCACAGCCGCCCGGCGGGCCTGCTCGGACCCCGGCCCTCGGCTGCAGAGGCGCCGAGTGGCTGAGTCACGCGGACACCAGGCCTCACCCAGCCGGGAGCCTCGCAATCCTTCTGCCCGGAGGTCCCTGAAACGCCCGCAGAGCAAGACACCCACCCGGCCCCGGGGCGAGCGTCCCGGTGAACCAGGCCTTACCGACTTGTGACTCTTGGCCGTGATGGTCTTCACTTTGTCGGGGTCCCAGATGACCACGTCGGCGTCCGAGCCCACGGCGATCCGCCCTTTCCTGGGATACAGGTTGAAGATCTTGGCCGCATTGGTGCTGGTGACAGCGACAAACTGGTTTTCGTCCATTTTGCCGGTAGCCTGAAGGTGAGACCCACCGATGAGACCACCCGTAGTAGGGCCGGGAGAAGGCAGACAGGCAATGCCCCGAACCTGCAGGGGGGCCCTTGGGAGAACTTTCCCCTCCCCCGCTGGGAGAGCTCCGGGCCCCATTAGGGCGGCACCCAAACCAAGCGCTCACAGGTTCGCGGGTACCCGCATAGTAGCGTCACAGGGTCCTGCCAGGGTCTGGGCCCAACGTTACTAGAAAGGAACAAGTCTGGCCCTAGCCAGTGTGGCTCAGTGGTAGAGTGTCAGCCTGCACACCGAAGGGTCCTGGGTTCAATTCCTGGTCAAGAGCATGTACCTGGGTTGCAGGTTCGATCCCCTGGCCCCAGTCTGGACACAGGCAGGAGACAACCAATCCACGTCTGTCCGACTCTCTCTCTCTGCCTCGCTCTCTCCCTCCCTCCCTCCCTTCCACGCTCTCTCAAACAAAGCAACGGAAAAAATATCCTCGGGTGAGCATTAACTAAAGAAAAAAATACCTTTGGTTTTAAGTCAGTGAAAGTCACCTTTCCAGGAACTAAAATATGGTTACAAACAAAACATGTACCACTCCTAAGGAGCCACGGCTGCCACTGACGGCTGCCAGGGTGGAGGGCCACAGGCAGGTGCCACCTCCTTCAGAGTCCCCGTTGCTCAGGGGCCCTTCCCATGCGCTCTGCTTCGGCCTCCAAGACAGACAGGAAGGAGAGCGAAGGGCCAGGATGCACTGCCTTCTAGAATGTTCCTGGGGGGAGATGGGGTGCAGCCTTACCACTGCCTTGTCCCAGACGACGGTCATACGCTCCTCGATCCCGTTGACGCCCTCGGGGATCAGGGTGAAGTTGTCCTTGCCCACTGCCTTCTGGGCAGTGCTGTAGGGACAGTGGCCACTACCGGTGACCTGCAGGTCTCCACTGGTGAGAACAAAACCAGGGTGGGGTTCAGGGCTAAGCTCAGATCGAAGGGCAAACCCCGACGTTGGACACTCGACATGGGCTCTAACTGAAAACCCACAGAGATTCTGGGGAGGGGTTTGGGGCACATCACGGGCACTAGTAAGCAACGTGCAAAGGCCCTGTGGCCGTGGGTGTCTTGCTGAAAGCTGGAAGGAGCCCTAGACACAGGGAGAAGGTTCTAGGTTAGTGTGGGCTCTGGGCTGGGCTGGTTACGGCTCCCCAGGCAAGACTCCTCTTCCTCGCCTGGGACAGGAATCCAGCCAGAAGAGGGCCAGGCTTTCTTACCCTAAAATACTCTGGTCCTAGGACAGCTGGGCCGAGGAGGGGAGGACCCTTCACCCTTTGCCCCCCAAATCCCTGAACTCCCTCCCCGCTCTCACCAGGCCAGCAGGGAGGTCAGGTAGTCAGGCGTGGTCGGGTCTGGGCTCAGGGGAGGGGAGGTCACGAAGGCTGCCGCCTTGGCCCAGTTCTTGCTCCAGTAATGGGTGCCGTCGGTCCCCAGGCTGGCAGCAATGGGCTCACCAAAAACGAGGGGACCTTGGAGACAAGCACAAACACACGTGGTTAAGAGCAAAGGGTCTCCAGTGGGAGATACTGATGCAACAAGTAGAAGGTCTCAGGCTGCAGAAAATAAATCGGCCAAAGGTAATAAATGGTCTATCCTTCCAGGCTTCACCGGAGACCCCCAGCCCCAGGCACCCAGCACCCGCTGGGCCACTCAGCCAGCTCTTGGGTGGTGCTGTTAGTATTCGGACAGAACTCTCTCCTGTTACAGATCCGTCTACCGAGGCAGAGACATGCTCTGCGGTCTCGGGTCCTGCCAGGAGCAGATCCTCGAGGAAGGAGCCAAGTTCATTATATTTGGGAGGTGATTCCAGGACACACTGGCTGGGGACTGCGGACGTGACATACGGGGACAAAGAAGCCAAGAAAAGGTGAGTGATCACCAAGTCATGGCTGTGGGCACCTGCAGCTCAGTGCACGGGGACCCCTGGGAGGCTGTGACTGGCCTCAGAGCTGTCCCACCCAGGGCCAGGGAGCGGGGCTGTGCATCCCACCCAGGGCCTCCTGAGGGTGCAATTTCCCAAATTCCACCCGCCTTCCAGGGAGGGGTCAGGCGCACCTCTGCCAGAACGGTCTTGGCACGAGAGACAAACGCTAACAGCCACTATGATCACCCAGCCACACTGAGGCTCAGACACCGTCACCCAAGGTCACACAGGGCCCAGGGCACCCAGGAATCACCAAACCTGGCCACACGTCTGTGTTCTACCGTCCTCCCATCTCCCTTTCCAACTGCAGGGAGCCCGGGGTGGGGGGAGGCTCAGGCTCCCAGCAATGGCAGCGAGTCTGCGGGCAGGGCCTCCATCCCATCAGTGACCTTGACCCCGCTGGACACCCCTCCCTGCAGACTGGGCCCCGCGGGAGGCCGGCGCTGGGCTGCGCACCTTTCTTCCTGGCCAGGGCGATGATGTCGGCCGCGCTCTTGCTCATGACCTTGGTGATGTACACGGGGCAGTTGATCCGGCCGGCGATGGTGATGGCGCGGAACACGGCCTCGGCCTCCAGCTGGGGGCACAGCAGATCCACGGTCACGGGAGGGGTGGAGGGCAGCCGCCGCCCACGCCGAGAGCCCGGGGCTCTCCCTGCCCAGAGTCCTCCGACCCTCCTCATGTGCGGTCAGAGGAAAACCTACTGTCGCAAAGGCGGAAAAGACTGTAGATTTTAACAAAAGAAAGAGCCCTGGCCGGTGTGGCTCAGTGGGTTGGAGCGTCAGCCTGTGCACTGAAGGGTCACGGGTTCGATTCCGGACACACACCCAGGCTGCAGGTTCAGTCCCCAGCAGGGCACATAGGGGAGGCAACTGACTGATGTTTCTCTCCCCCTCCCCGCCTTCCTCTCTCTCTCGAATCAATGAAAAGTGAGCCTATCCTCAGGTAAGGATTAAAAAGCAAAAGGTGCCGGCCGGGCGTGGCTCAGCGGTGGAGCGTCGACCTAGGATCCTAGGCGATCAGGGTTCGATTCCTGGTCAGGGCACATGCCCGGGTTGTGGGCTCGATCGATGACTCTCTCATCATTGATGTTTCTAGCTCTCTCTCTCCCTCTCCCTTTCTCTCTCTGAAATCAATAAAGATATATTTGAAAAACAAAAAAAAGGAGAGCGTTAAGCCGAGTTGTATTTGGTTCTTATGCCACATGGTCTGCTAGGAGGAGATACACAGGGTCCTGGTGCGGGTGACTTACATCCACCTGATGTAAGTCTGTGGCCCCCGCCTGCGGGTCTGTCCTAGCTCCTCAGGGACCAGGAACAAGTAGCTCGTGGGCTCATGTGTGGAGCCCCTGGGGAGGAGCCCCTGGGGGAGGGGCCTGTCTACTGTAGTGTGTCCCCAGGTGTCCGGCACAGGGCCAGGGCCAGGCCCAGAGCGGAAATCCCGAGGACAGATACGATCTGAAGAAGACACAGGGAACATCCTCAACTCAAAGGCTGCTAGGGTGCCCTGCTTGTCTTCCTCTGTCCCCTACACACACACACGCACACACATGCTCATACATACCTGCACAGGCACACTTGTGCACACGCACACACACACTCTGCCACTCCCAGGGGGACTCATCAGGGACACCGCGGGCAGCGGGCAGGGGCAGCCGTTTCATAGGCACGAGGCCTGGGACGTGTGGCTCCACTTTCTTATCTCAAATATGCAGTTTGGACTCTGGACTGTCCGTGGGGCCCTGGTATGAGTGTCCAGACTTCCCGGGCTCTGGGGGCAGAGCCTCTCCCTGGCTCCTCTGATTGACCTGCAGGCCCCAGGGCTCCCAAGTGCAAGGGCAGACCCTGAGGGGGGACCTGTGCTGGGGTGCTCATGCAGGGGGCATGGCAGGGAGCAGGGGCTCTGGCCGGGCTGCTCCAGCTGGAACAGCATCAGGCAAGCTCAGCGGTGTCAGAGTCCCACCAGGTGCAAGGCCCCTTTACCTCCTCGGGTCTGCTCAGAGCGTGGCCCTCGGGACCCGTGATGCCCATCTCTAAGATCCGCTTTTGTTCCTGCGAGACAAGAAAGTCAGCGGTGACAACGTCAGAGCGGGGAGAGGCCAGTCCTCCAACCCCCGCTGCCTTAGACGGGTGAACAGCTGAGGACCGGGGGTGCAGGGCTCGAACTTGGGCTGCGGCGACCCAGTGCTCCCTGCTCCTCCAGGACACCTGCCCACCTTCCCTCTGAGCCCCAGACAACTGCGTCCCCACCTGCTCTCTGTGCAGCCCCCGGGCCAGCGAGAGGAAGCCGGGGGTAACGGGGGTAACAAATGAGCCTCAGGGACCAGCCGCGCCCTCCCAGCCCCAGGGCCTCCCCCGCAGGCCTCTCCCGGGACGACAGGGGGTGCGTGGGGGGTGCACAGACACGGACATCAAAGCCCCCGGAGCTGGGAGCCCGGCTCCAGGACGCACCCTCTCTGTGACTCTGGGCGGGCTGGTCCAGCCTCAGTCTTCTCTTCCTTACGCTGGGGACAGGAGCACCTGCCTCCCGAGTCCCCGTGAACGGAGCAGGAAGCACATGTACCACCTGGCGCCCCACCCGCTGTGTCCTCAGGGCCCATCGCCTGGCAGCGACTGGCCCGATCCCCACGCAGGCTCCCCTTCCCGGTGCCCGCCCATCCCCCCACAGGCCGCCTCTCCCCCAAGCCCGTCACATAACCTTGAAATGGTTCCCTGAGCTCATGGCCCAGATTCAAGCCCGTTTGCTCCGAGGCTTTCTTGCCCCAGGAATGCTTTCATTTCTCCCCAAAAGAATTATTTTTAGTTTGCCCAGATGTCAGCTATGCGGCTGCTAATTTTAACTCCCGCAGTTCCTGTACCAGCGTCCTTGCAGGGAGCCCCGGGCCGTGTCGCCCGTGAAAAATCCCCACTCCCCACTGTGTCCATGGCTAAGGAGCCTGGGCTTGTGACAGAACGTGAACTGGAAACGATTTCACGATCCAACGGCTGCGGTGGATCTAAGTGAACCGCCGAATAATTTCGGCTACTGAAGATGATGGTGACAGAGAGTTTATGATGGGGACAGATCCCTGTGCAGGATCGTTTAAATGTCAGTCACTCTTTTTGTTGGAAGCGGGGGGCGGCAGACTGGGGTGGAAGGGGCAGGAACGCACACCACTCACCTGAGCTATCAAATCACCGTTTTCCGCGTGGACCAGGATTACCGCTCCCAGCCCCTTCAGGAAGGTGAAGGCTTCGTAGAGCTAAGGAGGGGCACACGGGTGGGGTGAGACGATGCCAAGCAGGGTCCTCGGCACAGACGGGTCCTCTGCTCCCACTGCCCTCCCTCCCCGCCCCAGCAGAGCCCGCGCAGGCCGCTCCGTCCCAACCGACGGAAGGCCTTGTTCAAGGACAAGTGAGCCTCGGGAAGGATCTGCCCTTGACCCCAAGGAGGCGGAGGTGGGGCAGAACTGGTCAAAGTCACAGCACACAGCACGGCAGGCCTGCGCCCTCGGTCTCAGTGCCCGGCCTGACCCCCTGGCTCTCTGTCTGGATTTGCTCCATCGTGGCGCCTTCTGGTGGCGACCGCGGAGATGTCCTTTTTAGTTTTACTGAACCGATGTAACTAGACCTGCTGAGCCTGTCCTGAAGCCACCCACACTCCCCGGGAGACCTGCAGCTCTTCACGAGGTTGTAAGCCATGTCCCAGGCCACAGTGGGTGGCGGAGGGGCCGTGTGCTCCAATGGCTCTAATACCCGGACAGCATACAGCCTGCCCGGCATCACCGACTGGCCAACACGGGCTCTGCCCACCGCCCAGCTCCTCCCACCCACGAAGGAGCTGCAACCCCACCCGCACACGGGTGAGACCAGCGCCACCCTGTTCCCTCCCCGGGGCTCTCGAATCCTGACTGCTTTCCACGTGTGCAAGACACGCCCTCCCCCGGGGGCTTTCAGGGGCAGGGAGTGGGGGACGAGGCACTGGGAGGCCTGCAGCACTTGAGGACCGGCATTACCTGAAGTCCACTGGACTCCCCTATAACCGGGGCAGGTGTGCAGGGGACCTACCTGGCTATCAGACATCTGGTAGAGATCCTTATAGGCCATGTAGACTTGGAAGGAGTTGACGCCTGTTCAAGGGAAACAGAAAAATGCATTTAAGGAAAGCAAAGCAGGCCTCTCCTGTACATCGACAAGCACAGTACAGAGCGGAAACGGACAGGGTGGAAAGGCGACACCGGGATTCACAGCGGGGGCACCGCCCAGCCGAGTCCAAACAGGCTGTGAGCAAATGAACTGCTTTTTATCAGTTGTGGTAAAACACACGGAGCATAAAATCTGCCATCTTAACCTGTCGACGTAAGAAATGACCAAACCCGTAGAGAATTTTTATGGGTTTATTCGAGTCGCAGTGACGACACAGGATGTGGAAGCAAGATCTCAGGTGCACCCAAATCTGTCATCACTTCAGCTCAAATAAACTTATAAAAATTCTCTACAGGTTTGGATGTTTCTTATACTGAAATTTACTTGGCGCAGTCGGCAGGAGTGGGCTACGGGACAGTTAACAAGGTCATGTGCTCTCTCAAGGGTGGCACAGCGATTTCAAAGGCACGTTAGCCTAGAGGCACAGAAACAGGTGGCAGGGCTGGCTTCAGGCAAAGATGAACCTCTTACTAAGGTCACAAGTCTGGGGCTGGGCTCCCCGCTAATACCGGCCCAGTTAGGGATTTATGATCAGATAACCCTGTGAGGTTACTTTCCATAGAAGCCCCTTTTCTGTCCACAAACCACTGTTAACCCTGTGAAGTTACTTTCCATAGAAGCCCCTTTCCTGTCCACAAACCACTGTTAAGAGTCCAATTCGGTGGTTTTCGGTACATTCACACTGGTGTGCAACCATCCCCACCATCATCTCCAGAACTCTTCCTTTCGGCAAAATGAAACTGTGTCTCCATTAAACCACCACCTCCTGCACCCTCCCGCCCCCGCCACCCCTGGCACCCACCACTCTGCTCTATGACTGCGTCTCCTCTGGGCTCCCAGAGTGTAATCACACAGTGCTTGTCCCTATGACCGGCTCACTTCACTGAGCATGTCCTCGAGGCTCGTCCATGGTGTGGTGTGTGGCAGAATTTCCTTCCTTTTTAAGACTGAATCATATCCAATTGCATGGATAGATCATATTTTGTACAGCCATCCACCCACAGGTAGACATTTGGGGTGTTTCCATCTTTGGGCTGGAGAATTAACAGTGAGCCCAGACTGTGGGTCTCGCACCTGGTACCAGGGCCCCGATGCTATGGATGTGGAGGAGCCAACGAGAGAGCCTCAGAGAAGTCAACGGGGTGACTTGCCCAATGTCCCACAGCCGAGAAGTGCAAGGGTGGGATTTGGTCGCAGGCGGCCAGGCTGCGGGGAGCTTTCTACCCCCTGCTGCTTCCACCTGATAGTCTCGGCTCCTAGCTGACCGCAAATAACTGGAACCACGGGAAGTGAAGCTGCAGACAAGGAGGCACCCAGTACAGACTGGAAATTTCCTTGGGCGATGATTCTGTACAAACTCACAGGGACGCACTGAAGGGATGAAGCCTTCTTGACACAGAGAACTTGGGCACAAAAACCCTAACTGGTACGTGGGCAAAGATTGCAACCGACATTCACACAAGGAAAAACATACCCAAAACGTTAAATATAATTAGCAATTAGAGAACAGCATGTATAGTGGGAGATGGACTCTCCCCATCAAACCAAGGATGCCCTAGAAGCAGTGGCACCCAACGGTGGGAACACACAGGGAGCAGGAGACACAGGCTCGGGGGCGTCCAAATGGGTGCACCTTTCAGCGAAGCAATTTGGCACTAAGTGTCCTGAGGTTGAAAAATGTTAAAACCTTGACCTCAGAATTTCACTCCCGGAAATCTAAGGAAATAATGAGAAATGCAAACTAATGTTAATACAGGAAGATGTTCCGCACGTCACGACTTAGAGGGGAGCAAACAGAAAACCTAAGAGCCCAATAAAAACAAAACCGCAAAGCAAATTAACAGTTACGCTGTTCCTTACGAGCCATTAAAAAGTTATGAATGAAGAGCAATGATTACACATAAAATGTGAAGAGAGGGATTCCGAGCAACTGCTGTAACTATATGAGGAGAAACTCGTGCAAATGCAGGGGGGGTGGAAGGCAACAGCCCTTAATGTGAATGGTAAGCGGCCACTGGAAGAGGAGAGGAAAACATTTACTTTCCTTCTCTTGATTTTCCTGCTGTTTTGTATGTGGTAACAGTACTTTTATAATGGGAAAGCATAGCCTATCTATTTTAAAAACTGAAAACACCCCTTAGCTCTCCTTGAAGCACTGCGTTCATCTGAGGCTGCCTCCTCAGACAGTCTCCAGGCCCCCCCTTTCCAGGATGATTACTCACACCCTGGTCCACCGTTCTCTGGTTCTCTGCTTCCGTGTCTTCTATTTGACTCACCTCCATTCGATGTAATGCACTGTAAAGTGTCTACACTCTGCAGAGACACCTGGTGTGAGCCCAGAGGGGAGCCAGAGTGGGATACAGAGATGCGTGGACGCAACTCCCTCCCTCCCTCACAGAGCTCAGGGCTTAATGGAAGAGCCAGACAGACAACCTGTGTCCTGTAATCCAAGAACAATGGGAGAGGTGCCTCAAAAGAAGACCAAGTAACCTGCTATGGATATTCAAGGTGAAGCAGTTCTGACTGGGGAAACTGGAGAGGCAATAGTTGGGCTGGGTAGCAAAGTAGAAGAAAAAGCATTCCAGTGGGGAAAGGCATGAGCAAAGGTCCAGTGGTGTGGCAGGTTTTAGGGGATGGCATCCGGGACAACAGGTATCCAGATGAGTTTATGGTAGAGAAAGAAAAGTGAGGCTAGATCAGTAAGGGCCTCATGTGCCAGGATAATGAAATTGGGCTTTTCTCTGTGAACATGGGGTACCTCCAAGAGCTTGAAGGAGAAGACAGACTCCTTAAAGAGGGTCTTGTTTTTCCATTGTTTATGTCACAATACGCAGCTCATAGTTGGGCTCATGGCATGCAGATAAAGGGATTTTGATTCCATATAATCAGATCCACCAAAGAAACATGAATTCCAGAACTATGCCCCCATCTGGGGCGTTTACTGACCTTTATCCTGCACCAGCACCTCCAGCTCCTCCCGAATGCCATCATACCAGCTCGTGATGTCCACATGGAGGGAGTAGTCGCAGCAGGATTTGGTATCAGCTGCTTCATGCCATTTCTCAAAGGAGGTCAGCAGGCTGGACCCAGGTTCTGGGACCACATGGTCAACTGGGACAGAAAAATGTGTCACATTCCCAGAAGCTTAGGACCTAAGTTGTTCCAATGGTAGACTCTTTCCATCATCATTAACATCACCACCACCACCAGCAGCATCACTGTCATTATCACCACCATCACCACAACCACCAACCACCACCATCATCACCATCAACATCGCCATCATTATCATCATCACCACCACCATCACCATCAATGTCACCACCATCATCACCATCATCGCCACCACCATTACTACCACTACTACCACCATCACCACCACCATCACTATCACAATCACAATCACCATCACCACCATGCATCAGCATCACCATCATCACCACCACCATCACTACCACCACTACCACCACCATCATCACAATCACCATCATCATCATCCCCATCACCATCATCATCACCATCACAATCACCATCACAATCACCATCATCATCCCCATCATCATCATCCCCATCATCACCATCCCCATCATCCCCACTTATCACCATCATCACGACCACCACCATCACCATCACCACCACTTTCCNACCACTACTACCACCATCACCACCACCATCACTATCACAATCACAATCACAATCACAATCACCATCACCACCACCACCACCACCACCATCACTACCACCATCATCACCATCAGCACCACCATCATCATCACAATCACCATCATCATCACCATCACAATCACCATCATCATCCCCATCATCCCCATCACCATCATCACCATCATCACCACCATCACCATCACCACCATTACTTTCANTCACCATCATCATCCCCATCATCATCATCCCCATCATCACCATCCCCATCATCCCCACTTATCACCATCATCACGACCACCACCATCACCATCACCACCACTTTCATCATTAAGATCAACACCCTCACCCTCACGATCCTTTCCATCTCTCCATCATTGTTGTCAATATTGCCATCACTGTCACCATCATAACAATCAGCAGCAGTTACATCATCACCACCCTCTTTAGTCTTCGTTNCCCCATCATCATCATCCCCATCATCACCATCCCCATCATCCCCACTTATCACCATCATCACGACCACCACCATCACCATCACCACCACTTTCATCATTAAGATCAACACCCTCACCCTCACGATCCTTTCCATCTCTCCATCATTGTTGTCAATATTGCCATCACTGTCACCATCATAACAATCAGCAGCAGTTACATTATCACCACCCTCTTTAGTCTTCGTTACCATCGTCCCCACACTGTTACTATCACTGTGATCCTCAGCATCATCAGCACAACTATTTATTGGATGCTTATTATGTGTCACATACTGCCACAGAGGCCTTACATAAATTACCTCATTAAATCCTCACAACCATCCTGTGGCATGAATATTAATATCCCCATTTTTCAGATGAAGAAACTGAGGCTCAAGGAGGGTAAGGAACTTGTCCAAGGTCACACAATTAGTAAACGGAGGCAGGGGGAGAGTCCCAGAGTTCTGTCAGCTGCGGAGTCTGAACCCTTCCCACTTCTCCACCCTGCGTCTGTTGGGGGCATTATGGCAGCAACACAGACCAACTCAACCACTTCCCAGCTGTGTAACCTTCAGAAGGTTACTGCACCTCTTTGAGCTTCTACTCCCACGTGTCATAATACCTATGATCCTGGTTCCAAAACTTTAGCCATCTGCACACCATGTTCAGGAATTTTTTGCTTTATCTCCCCATAATCCATATCATTCTTTATTAATGCTTTTCTTAAATCAATTCACAGTTTCTCAAAATCTAAATTCTGACATCAATTTCAACCTAAGCAGTCACATCCTATGAGCTGCGAGTTATTTTATTTCAATATGCACTAAAATGCTTTACGATTTTCAATGTCTATATTGCCTCCAAAATCACTTTGTGCACCACCAGTGGCACACAATATCCTGACCTATGGGGGAGGTTGCAGTGACAATGACATTACATGGAACCCTGAGCAAAGTGCCTGGTGCACGCTGAACACTTGTGTGTTGCTGCTGATGCTGGTGATAAAGACACAGTCTAGGTCCCTAAGGTGGGGTGCGACTCACTGATCATCGTGGTCCCGCCTGCTAATGCTGCCCTGGTCCCCTGGAAGAAGTCATCAGCAGCAGTCATCCCCTGGGACGGCTTCTGCAGGTACGTGTTGACATCGATACCCCCAGGTATAACCATCCGCCCATTGGCCTCAATGGTCTTCACTCCACCAGGAACGATTAAGTTCTCTCCTATTTGTCTGGAGACAAACAACAGAGACAGCTCTGGTTCTTAAAAGAAGGAAATGGCAGTCACCTGTGCAGCTTCAGACCCATTAGGTACACATTTCTGAGCTGGGTTCTATACACACTGGCTGGACGGGGGTAACTCAGGCAGGCCCCTGCCCTCGAGGGGCGCACGGTCTAATGAGGAGGAAGGGCACATAGGCAGGTGGTTACAATCCAGTGCAGCAGAGGGCTGGGGGGCACAAGGTGGGCCAATTTATCAGCCTGGCTATCTGGGAAGGCTTCCAGGGGGAAGCAGCAGCAGAGCTGAATCCAATAGAGGTGAGACCAGCATCTCTGTCAAACGGTAAAAGGTTCTCTGGACAGCCCGTCACCCCAGAGTACTTCACACACTTTAGCAACTGCCTCCGGGGTCCAGAGGCGCGTGTTTGCAGTGAGACAGAGTGAAAAGTCCCCTTGGCCCTACAAGCTCTCAGACAGTGTGATGGGCTGAATTTGACACCCCCCAAATCCATATGTTGAAGCCCTAACACCAGGACCTCAGAACATGGCTATATTGGAGAAGGGTCCTTTAAAGAGGTAACTAAGTCAAAATGAGCCGCTAGGCTGGGCCCTAACTCCACAGGACCGGTGTCCTTATAAGACGAGATAGAGACACCAGGAACCTGTGCACAGAAGGCCATGTGAGGACACAGCAAGAAGAGCGCAGGAAAGAGGTCTCCAAAGAAACCAACCCGCCGACACATGCTGGACTTCCGGCCTCCAGAACCGTGAGAAACCAGTATCTGTGGCCTAAGTCGCCCAGTCTGGGGTATTCTGTGAGGGTGGCCCAAGCAGACTAACACCTGGCGTCACAGGAGGGCCGGAGCGGGAACCGACAGGGCAAAAGTGAAGACAAACTTCGGTCCCAATGCCTGTCCTTCCTTTAGGTGCCAAGGCTCTGTCTGTAAGCCAAATGCTCCCCTCTCTCCCGGCGCCCTCGACCCGATTCGGGAGACTCTGGGCAGGCAGGAGAACGCTGTGAGTCCGGGCAGGGGAGCTGGGCTGGGACTCACGCGCTGCGCCAACTGGGTCTCTAACGTGGGCAGAGGTTCACCCGCCCTGCCGCCCCTCCCGGGAGGTGGAGAGGGACCGGGGCGTCTCACAGCCTCCCCGTTAGCCTGCTGGCCGGACCGAGGGCTGTGGCGGGCGCCGGGCACGGGCACTCAATAAACACTAGAACCTGCTCCACGCGTCGTTTAAGCTTCCCCAGCCCTCTCCATCCCTGATGTTCACAGGGACACGGCACAGTCACTCCGGGGCAGAGCCCCAGCCTTCCTTCCATTCCCCTAGGGGCCAGGCAGGGCAGAGACACTGCTTCTCCGCAGGTGTGTTTGGGCCACCCACTTGATAAGGCCGTCCTCCAGGTAGACGTCGGCGTAGAAGGACTGGTCATCGTTGATGATTCGTCCCCCTTTGATGAGGAGCCGGTCACTCTGAAAAGCCAAGCAAAGTAGTAAGTGTCACTGGGGAAAGGCCAGGCATTTTTTTCCCCCCAGTTTTTAATATAAAATTGTTCAAATATTTTCAAAAGTAACAAATGGCATAAAAAAGCAAAACCCAACTTAATCTGGAATCTCAGGATCTTGGGAAAGTTCACGCCCTCACTTGCCCTGTGTCTCTGCTCAGTGTCACTTACGTGAGAGCCCTCCCCTTGGCCGCCACACACCACTGCCGGCCAGCGGACCCTGCGCCCCTCACCCAGTTATGTTCACACAGTACTTATTACAGCATGTCTGACAAACTATATATTTATGTGTTTGTCTAAAATGTGACTCCCCACTGACATCAGAGCTGCGTTGTGTTACTCCACCGGCTAAGCTCAGCACAACTCATAGAGGACCAAACACAGACACAGTGATGTGGATGGATGGGGCCACCAGAGTTGTACCCTGCAGTTGTCCTTACGAGACTGTCGGCTCCATGAGGGCAGAGATTTCATTTATTTTATTCACAGCTGCACTATCTATACCTTGGACACAGCCTGGCCAGATGGATGAATGGACGGATGGGTAGATGGATGGATGGGTGGATGGGTGGGTGGATGGATGAAAGGATGGGTGGATGGATGGATGGATGGATGGATGGATGGATGGATGGATGGATGGATGGACGGATGGATGGGTGGATGGGTGATTGGATGGATGGATGAAAGGATAAGTGGGTGGATGGATGGAAGGAAGGAAGGAAGGAAGGAAGGGTGGATGAAAGGATGGATGGATGGATGGATGGATGGAAGGAAGGAAGGAAGGAAGGAAGGAAGGAAGGAAGGAAGGAAGGAAGGAAGGATAGGTGGGTGGATGGATGGATGGATGGATGAAAGGACGCTGGATGGATAGATGGATGGATGCCTTGAAGGATGAATGGGTGAAGATGGAGAGAAAAGGCATCACAGCCATGAGACAAAGAACTATGAGCCATGGCACAAGGAAGAGATGATGAACCAGCACGACCTGCCCCAGCAGGAGGGTCTCTGGAGGGAGGGGCTTCAGGCTCAGTCACTCCCAGGCCCAACACCTGCCTCTTTCCCTAAGATAGAGGCCAGCCAAGACATATGCCCCAGGAAGGACGCCCTCTGGAGGACATGCCAACACCAAAGGAAAGAGGAGGGATGGGCTGTGCATACCCCAAAGTAGAGACAAAACAGTGGGCAGGTTCCCAGCGCCAGGAAGCAGGGAACTGACGGAGTCACCAGCAGCTGGTGCGTGGCTACCAGGACACGGCCGCCCGCAAGCAGCCATTTGCCTTGTCACGCTTAACAGAGGGTTTTCCAGGCTGAGCCTGAAACGTGGGACTAGATGTGCTGTGAGCCAGATCAGCCCACCTGCTCTGCTCTCCTAGAATCGATGGTGGAGCTTGTGTTCAAATCCCCCCTCCCCAGCTACCGGCAGACACCATGTGCAGCTGCTGCAAATGGGCCCGCGCTCTGGTGTTCTCAGGGACCAGCATTTTTTCTTAAAAAATAAACCCACAACAAGGCAAGAGCTTATGTGACTTTTTCATTATCTGTCTTAAAATTATTATTATTTTTAATCCTCACTGAGGATATTTTTTCCATTGCTTTTCAGAGTGGAAGAGAGAGAGAGAAACATCGATGTGAGAGAGACACATCGATTGGTTGCCTCCTGTAAGGGCCCCGACCAGGGCTGGGGATCAAGCCTGCAACCGAGGTACGTGCCCTTGGCTGGAATCAAACCTGGGACCTTTAGTCCCCGGGCTGACACTCTAACCATTGAGCCAAACTGACTAGGGCTTTTAAAAAAAAATTATTTATTTTTTAAAGAAAAACAGTAACACCCTGCTTCTCCCAGATTACAAGGGACAAACAACATATGAACAATGACAAGCTCTGTATACAAAATCGTTGTTTAAGTACTTCGAAGAAAATAAAATATCTAATTAAAAATTCAACAACCATGTAACAGCCAGGGTATGCCGGAGACGGCCAGCTCATTCCACGGCGACAGCAGCGGCCTGGAGAGAGTTAGATCCGCGTGGCTCACGTCCTGGATCAGTGTGTGTGAGAATGAAATGTCAGGACACAGACAGGTTCCAATCCTTACCCACTACCATCCAGGTGACTGAACCCTGCCAGCCTCAGTTTCCTCAGCTGTAAAATGGGGATAAGTGTCCCTGTCTCAGGGCTGCCGGGAGAAGCCCATGGGGTACACAGTGCTTAGCACAGGCCTGGCGCGTGTAAACCATGGGGACAGTTACACACTGTTAACTCTGTGCCATTTTCCGTAGCAGGAACTATACTCAATTAAGTACAGGGTGTCCCAAATGTATGTATTCTCACTTTAATAGCTGATAACTCACTTAATTTTCACTCCTTTTCAGGTTTGATTTGAAATAATGGATGAAACCAGACCAAGCTTTGAACAAAGAAAATTTATCCTGCCCTAGTCAGTCTGGTTCAGTGGTTAGAGCGCTGGTCTGCGGACTGAAGGGTCCCGGGTTCGACTCTGGCCAAGGGCATGTACCTCGGTTGCAGGCTTGATCCCCTGCCCCAGTCAGGGCACTGCAGGAGGCAACCAATTGATGTGTCTCTCTCACATCAATGTCTCCCCCCCCACACACACACTCTCTGAAAAGCAATGGAAAAAATATCCTCGGGTGGGGAAAGAAAAAAAGAAAAAATTATCCTAAAGTGTCACTAGACATTTTTTTCAGGGATACGTAAGTGATAAAGTTTATGGCACAAAACCAGAAACAGCTGACACATCGAGGGCGCACCAATACCGAACGAAATGCTTCCTGATGTTTGCGATTCCACTGCTTTGTGTTATCAGCAGTGCCTGGACCAGAGCGGTCGTCAGTTTGAAAACAGGCGTTGACAAATCATTCATTTCTGTAGATTCTTTTAAATTTTGAAAACGAACAGTATGTTAATAAACACTGACTTCATAATCATTCAAAGTGCGTATACATTTTCGGAGGACACCCTGTATTTAAGGAAGGAGTGAGCAGCTAAAAGAAACGGTTCTCAGGCCCGCGGGGAGACTGAGTCATGGCCAGGCTTTGGCACCCAGCGTGGGGAGAGCTGGCAGGGACTGGCGGGAGCGCTGGGCTCGGGGTCGGTAAGCCGCTTCCTCTGCTTGAAGCGCGACCTCCGTGGGGGCCAGGAAAGGTACGCAGGCGCCAGCTCACGGGACTCTAAGGGGCTCTAATGCCACCAGCTCACGGGACTCAGGGGCTCTAATGCCACCAGCTCACGGGACTCTAAGGGACTCTAATGCCACGGCGCAGGGAGTCTTGGCTGGCGGTGACGTAACAGAAGGGTTTTCACCAGGGACCAACTCAGACACACACAAGCCTCTGAACTAAGACACGGCGCGAACCCTGGGCACAAGGGGAGCAGGAACTCACCGCCTCCACGCTTTCCTCCAAGCTGGGACTTCTCGGTGAGAACAAGGGCCCACCAAGTTTGCAGAAGGTGTCAGGGCTTTAAAACTGCCCGTGACTTGACCTGGAAATCTAAGGCTGGGGACCTGTCCTCAGAAAATACCCCAAGGGAGGGCAAGGAACTGTACGCTGACAGGTGATCCCGAATTAATTACAATCGCATCATCACACCACTAACGGGGTATCGCTCAGGTACTAGAATTTCAAGGACCCCCAGGGATTTTTAAGAACAAACGAAGCCGCCGAACAATAAAATGTTAGGTGAAAGGGCAAAATACCAAACCTATTAGACGGTGGAAATTCGGGGTGAGCAGATCTTTCTGGCGGTAACTGCCCCCTGTAGAGAGTTTGGGGTGCCTCCTCTACATCCCCACACCTTCCCCCTGCACACCCTCCCCCTTGTCCCCATCACCCTTCCCGGTCCTCGTTCACGGGCCCGCCTCCTTTGGAGCTGGACACCTCCGTGGCCGGGAGAGCCCGTGCGGCTCCTCGTTGCATCCCCAGGGACCTGCCGGCAGGTGTACAGAGTTTA